AGATTTTGCTGCCGGATGTAGTTCATCGTCATACTCAGGAATAGACAAAAAACGAGCTTTAAAATAAAAACCATTGCTTTGAGGATTATTAAAAATATATTGTGGATATTTTAAATAATTCGATATATTGTTGGTCATTTTTTTATAAAACACTATTTTTGAAAATTTTAAAAAGGGATAATAAAATGACAAAATATTGGAAAATAATTGATAACATTTTATCTTAAAATGTATTTCCAGAAAAAATATTTGAATAGAAATATTGTTGAAATTTCAAAAAAAGTATTGACTGGTCAATTTTCCATATATTAAAACTATATTGTTGGTTTCATTTTATGAATATAAATGTATTTACTTGATTTCACTTTCATAAATATTGATGACTATAACTTTCACTTTGAGTATTTTCATAATATTTAATAAGCAACAATATGAATTTCTTCATGGTTATTTCTGCTTGTTTAGTATGTCAAAATGCCAAACAGTGAAAAAAAAATGTGTTACACAAATTTTAGTTATTTTATTATCTTAAAATATATTGAATGACCTTTTCATCTAACTCGCATACCGACTTAACCAGTTTATTCTATTTTAAAATGTATTGTTGTTTTACCCACTTTTTTTTTATTATTATTTATGTTCATTTTTCCGGATACAAATTACTTTTTATATAGTTCTTATCCTGCTCATTGTTTAAATATTATTTTCGTTCTCTTTAGTTTTATTTTTTAAACATGTTTGTTTTTCATTCGGCTTTTAAGATTCTACTTTCCGTTCACTTTCATTTATTTCTGCTGGTCAGAGATTTTTTTTTAATCGTCTTCTTTTTTCCCTCATTCTCTAAATATGATCTTTAAATTTGATTGCTATTAGCAAAAAGCAGAATTTCTCTTTTTTCTATTGTTTCGATCGATCTATTTTACTTACAATCTGGCTGTTATACTTATATCAAACTAGCCTATAATATCCTCTGGTAATTCTCCTGCCTTTTTTATCGATTAAAAACGTCTCTTTACGTTTCCCAAAGTTTAAGAAAATGGTATATATCATTACATCGAGCCGGCTTTTCTACATTTTAAACCGATCATTTTTCCGTTTCTTTTACTTCACTTCGAATTTCTCCACCCTCGATTTCAAAATATTTGATTAGAAATTCCACTATCATAACCATTGATCTACAAAAAAAAAAAAAAGTATGCTTTCAGCTGCAAATGCCGAATGAATTCCATATAATTAAACAGTTAATATTACCGTTTGCCTCACTGTTCACGCCATCTTAAATCAATCTCGTCAGATATGAAATGTTGTGGTAAAACTGGAAGAAGCAGCCACAGGCTTTTGACGTTTCGACTCTGAAGAAAGTACAACATTTCTGAAATGTAGCGTCTTTGCAGGCAATGGATATTTGATGACAAGCAATGAGTTGTGGCCTTGTTAGAGTCAGAAATAAAGACACAAAGAGAGGGACTGATTTAAACAAATATATTAACAGAAACAGTAACACGAACAAAAAACGAGTGTTACAGCAAGAATTTCAGTCCGATTTGAGAGCTGACTGCCTTTCCATCTTAAAAATATAGTACCTGATATGACCATGCGTGCGTGAGTAAATCTGAACCACAATGCATACCGGGATATGTAACTTTTGCGATTATAAGGTTTGAAAATGTTATTGAAGCAATACGAAGATATGATTTTTTTTTATTTTTTTAATCATTTCACCCCAAATTACTTTTATATAGTTCTTAAGACGCAAGGGTTTATTGTTTAAATATTATTTTCGTTCTCTTTTAGTTTTAACAAGATTTTTAAACATGTTAACGATTTACATTGCATTTATATATAAAAAAAAATACGACCCCTCTTCTTTTTAATCGTCTTCTTTTTTTCCTTTTTGCGTTCTCTGAATATAAAAATCTTTAATGAAACTTGGGTTATACTGATTTCAATCATTTTCGAAATCTTTTTAACCCATTGAAATTGTCGGATCATTATATTTTTTGTTATAATCTAAAGGTCACTGTTATACTTAGTTTGAAACATAGATCGCCAGAGAGCAAACACAGTAATTCCCATTATTGAATTAAATAAACCTGTCCATAGAAAAATAAATGGGAGATAGGATTGTTCGATCTGCATTTTAAGTCAATCCTATTTACTATACGGATCCTATTTCTAGTCTATCCTCTAAATTCAGATCACCATTTCTATCATTTTCTACACGATATGGACTGCTTTTCTACTTTTTTCACCGACATTTTCTATTCGGATCATTTTACGGATTACTATTCGAACGAATATTATCCAGCCTCTGTTTAGTGCAAGTGATATTCGAGAGTCTAACCTATTGTTCAACGGCGTTACTTTCAGATCGCGATTACAGCGTTCTACTATCATAATGAGTATTGATCTATCAAAAAAAAAAAAAGTGTTTGTTTTCAGCAGCAAATTGCCGTAATATCAATGAATTGACTCAAGCGGATTAATATTTATATGAGAACATATTTGTTCAAAGGTCTCATCGTATGCTTACTGTTAATAGAGTATCACGATATCTTAAATCTATATCTATAAGCGTCAGATAACAGCGAAATGTCACTTTCATAAATCAATTTTCTGAAAGAAGCAGCCATATGCCAATGGTCAGATTTTTGACGTTTTTTCGACATCTGAAAAAATTTCCTAGATATTTAATTGAAATATAACTTATGTTATCTTTGCATTATCAATGTCGATGATTTGATGACAACCAATGAGTCTGTCGTCTTGCAGAGTGATAAATTTTTTTCTTTAAGACACAACCAGAGTTTCCGATTTAAACAAATATATTATCAGAAACAGTAACATCTGAATATATACAAACTTTGGTTTTTGCCATAATTAGCAAAGAAAAATGTTAAGTATCTGTCCATATTTATCAGATGAGATATTATGTACTATTTACCGGACTATCGTCCTAAAAGGCAGTATATTTATCCCATTTTTAGGCTAGGAGAGTCCAAGATTCGTGAAATAAATCGAACTGAACCTTTATTTCTTCGCTGGGGTCATATTCTAGTTCCACGGCGTGTTATAATGTTAAAAAACATTATTTTTCCTCTCCAAGTTTTCCATGATTCGTATTTTTTTCTTTTTTGTCACTAATCAACGCCTTTATCCACTGTGCCAAGCCGTAAAACAAAATAAACCAATCTAAACCAAACAATACGTATTCTATTCATACGAATCTTTAAAAATGATATGATAAATAACCCATTGAGGTTATATGGAGAGGAAAACAAAAACAAAAAACAAAATAACAAAGATTATTCTATTCAGAATCTATCCTAAAATGTTTATCGGCATTAAATAACATTGAGGTTGATATATAAAAAAAAAACAAAAACAATTTTTCAACCAAAGAATATGATTCTATTCATAATGAATCTATTTTTTGTTCATTCATTAAATAACTGATTATAAAAACAAAAAAAAAAAACAAATCCAACAACCAAAGAATACATATTCTATTCAATTATCCTAAAAATGTTGTCGGCATTAAATAACCATTAAATATGCCGTAAAAAAATAAACGGATCAATTAAATGTTTTACATATTATTCATAAGAATAAAGTTGTCACATTAAATAACCCATTGAGGTTGAACATAAATCGCCAAACCAAACCAATCTAAACAAAGCACATATTCCATTATTGAATTAAATAAAAACGTGTCCATAGATAAAACGCATATATGGGTAAAACAAAATAAACCAAACTGTCTAAAAGAATACATATTCTATTCTTACGAATCTGTCCTAAATGTTTACTATACATTAAATAACTCATTTCTAGTTGATATGCCGTAAAACAAATCAACATTTCTAAACCAAAGAATACATATTTTTCATATTATCCTATAAATGGACTGCTTAAATAACCCATTTATTCAAAACTAAAAACAAATCAAACCACTTTCTATTCCTTTCATGGTAAATCACAAAATTATAATTCGAAAATATTATCGAGCAAATATCGCTGTTTAGATCAGCAAGTGATATTATCTCACTAATACTTTAGATTTCTCCCTTTTGAGTTCCATTCCATAGGCGCCAGTTTGTGCAGTTGAGTTTGTTAGTCAGGTTTTGCAGCTTACTGCCCACCATAAGGTCATTATCGTCTTCAAAACGCAGGCTGCGGACAGGACTATCATCGCTAGAGATTGAAAGCGTGTAGGGTTTCCATATAATTCCATCCAGCAACAGGTTGAAGTGTGTTGGAGAGACTGGAAAGGATATAGAAGCGCAACATCAGATTCCAGACCAGGTTTAAACCTTACAAATCGCTGGGCGTATCCAACCTCTCTACGGGTGAGAAACTTGGAGACCCCTAGTTGATCGATAGTGGTGATGATGGTGATAATGACAATGATGATGATGATGATGATGATAGTGATAGTGATGTTGATGATGGTGATGATGGTGGTGATGTTGATGTTGATGTTGATGATAGTGATGTTGATGATGTGATGTTGATGATGGTGGTGATGATGGTAATGATGGAGGTGTTGATGATGATGATGATGATGCTGGTGGTGGTGGTGATGATGATCTTACAAATAAAACAAAATTTAATTTCAAAGAAGACATTTCAATTGTTTAAAACGTGTTTCTATAAATAAAAACGTCGGTAGCAAGCAAACGTATAAGTACGTCTACAGCAGTGAAAGTGTTACGAGCTTCCTCACAGTTTTATTCGGGAAATTCAATCGGCGATTAATTATCTATAACTATGATGTACCGAGAATGTTAGACACACTACTAGAACAAGCCAGAATGCAAATCTGTTCTATTGACAAAGCACCATCCAGTGTTGAAACATTAGATGTACAGAATGACACGCGATATGCTAATTAGATGAGGCTTCTTAGTCATTGTGATCAATCATTAAGCTGTTGAATTACGATTGGATAGAAAAAGAATTTAAATATTGCCCCCTTATACCAACGTTCTTCAGGAAATATGCATCTTTCTTTCTTTTTCATGAAATCAGTGCGTCTTTCTTTCTTTTTCATGAAATCATTGAATCTTTCTTTCTTTTTTCATGAAATCTTGGCATTTTTGTTTCTTTTTCATGAAATATTGGCATCTTTCTTTCTTTTTCAGGAAATCATTGCCTTTTTCTTTTTCATGAAATCTTGGCCTTTTTGTTTCTTTTTTATGAAATCATTTCATCTTTCTTTCTTTTTCATGAAATCTTTGCATTTTTTATTCTTTTTCATGAAATCATTGCATCTTTCTTTCCTTTTTCATGAAATCTTGGCATTTTTGTTTCTTTTTCATGAAATCATTGCATCTTTCTTTCTTTTTCAGGAAATCATTGCATTTTTCTTTTTCATGAAATCTTTGCATCTTTATTTCTTTTTCATGAAATCTTTGCATCTTTCTTTCTTTTTCATAAAATCTTTGCATTTTTCTGTTTTTTTTTTCATGGAATCCTTGTATCTTTCCTTCTTTTTTTATGAAATCATTTCATCTTTCTTTCTTTTTCATGAAATCTTTGCATTTTTGATTCTTTTTCATGAAATCATTGCATCTTTCTTTCTTTTTCATGAAATCTTTGCATTTTTGATTTTTTTTCATGAAATCATTGCATCTTTCTTTCTTTTTCAGGAAATCATTGCATTTTTCTTTTTCATGAAAGTTTTGCATCTTTCTTTCTTTTTCATGGAATCTTTGCATCTTTCTTTCTTTTTTATGAAATCATTTCATCTTTCTTTCTTTTTCATGAAATCTTTGCATTTTTGATTCTTTTTCATGAAATCATTGCATCTTTCTTTCTTTTTCATGAAATCTTTGCATTTTTGTTTCTTTTTCATGAAATCATTGCATCTTTCTTTCTTTTTCATGAAATCTTTGCATTTTTGTTTCTTTTTCATTAAATCATTGCATCTTTCTTTCTTTTTCATGAAATCTTTGCATTTTTGATTCTTTTTCATGAAATCATTTCATCTTTCTTTCTTTTTCATGAAATCTTTGCATCTTTCTTTCTTTTACATGAAATCTTTCCCTCTTTCTGTTTTTTTTTCATGGAATCTTTGCATCTTTCTTTCTTTTTCATGAAATCTTTGCATCTTTCTTTCTTTTTCATGAAATCTTTACATTTTCATTTCATATGGGTTAACTTTAAATCATAATCATTCGAGAACAAATGATTGAGAAAGCTCCTCTGCATCTGGTACTTGGAGCACAATACAAATGACTATGTACTGAGCAAGGTCATATATTCCGTGGGCCGACTGGAATCTCTTCTCGCCAGTATTAAGATGGCATCGTTTGGCCACGTCAGGCGGCACAATAGCCATTGCAAGACCATCATGCAAGGTACTGTTGAAAGCGGATTCAAGTGAGGACGGCAATGCAAGAAGTGGCCAGAAAACACCAAACAGTGGACGTACATGACTATGCCGGAACTCCTGAGAGCCACTACCGACAGATCATCTTCGAGGAGGGTGTCCCTTGCTTCTGTTTTTAGGATCTGCCTCCCTCGCAAACGATTGAAGCAGACTGATGACGATGATGACGGTGATGATGATGATGGTGTTGTTGATGACAGTGATGATGATGGTGGGGGTGATGATGGTAATGATGATGATGGTAATGATGACTGATGATGATGGCGGAGGTGATGATTATGATGATTATGATGATGATGATGGTGTTGTGATGACAGTGATGATGGTGGTGGTGATGATGATGATGATGATGATGATGTCAGTGATTATGATGATGATGATGATGATGGTGGAGGTGATGATGATGGTGATTATGATGACGGCGCATTCATTCCATCTATTTTAGCTATTTCTATCTATCTATCTCTATCGAAATCTGCTCATATCTATCTATCTATCTATCTATCTATCTATATATCTATCTATCGCAGTCTCTTCCTATCTATCTATCTATCTATCTATCTATCTATCTATCTATCTATCTATTAGGTTGCCACACATGAAATAACCCATATTTTGATGGTTATTGATCCGGTCGTCTAACAAAGTAACCTGCTTAGTACATAGAAAAAATCTCAACATATTCCTGACCCTTTTTTCTTTCCAGATATTTTTTCTTTCAATATATTGTTATTCATAAGCCCAATAAAAATGATTACAATGTAACAATGCCGGGTAATCTTACTGTATGAAAAAAAAGAACCATTTCTGAATTGAATGCGATGAGGAGTGGATACTCTTTGACAACAGTAAGAGATTAGGCCAGTGGTTGGATGCAAGTGAATCACCGAAACAATAGCCAAAAAATGAGAACGTTCATTTAGCCTTTCAGTAATCATACCAACATTCATACTCTGGCTTCCATCTTCAAAATCCTTTCAAGAACCATCAAGAAATGGGTGAATAAGTTTAAAAAAGGAACAGTAGAAAAGAAAACTGAATCAGGAGGGAACAAGGTCAAGAGAGATCATCATTCCAACTTAGAGCTAAATATATTCTTATTGTTCAAAGCAGAGTCCAATAGTGTTATAAAAACCTCGGAAATTCCACTAAGATCTCTTTAATCATTTCTAAGGTGCAAAGATTCAAAGAATGATCTAACAATTGGACAATTTTGGTGTGACACGATTTGGACAATTTTGCTGTTACACCCGGTATATGCAATGTTAGGGTTAAATATATGTCATGTATTAGGTTGTCACACATGAAATGGCGCATTATTTCTTTGGTTGTTGATTCGATTTTGTAACGAATTAATATCCTTACTATATAAAAAATCTCGACTTATTCCTGTCTCTTTTTCTTTCCAGATAATTTTTCTTTCAATAAATCGTTAATTATAAGCCCAATAAAAATGATTACAATGTAACAATGTCGGGTAATCTTAGTGTATGAAAAAAAGGACCATTTTCGCATTGAATCATTACATGCGATGAGGAGTGGATACTCTTTGACAACGATAGGAGAGTAGGCCAGTGATCGGATGCAAGTGAATCCCCCTAAACCGCCACTGCACCCCAAAAAGTTAATGGTTACTTTATGTTGGTCTTTCAAAGGGGTTATTCATTATTCATTCTTGTCTCAAGGGAAAACAATAACAGCAACGAAAAATTTAAAAAGAAACATCCTAGAACTTGCGAATAGGGATGGTCCGATTTTGTAGCACGACAACAGCCGGTCGCACGCTTTTCAATCAACTGTCGAAAAGCCTGAATTATAAAATATTGGCTCATCCTCTATATTCAGCTGGTATCTCTCCTACTGATTACCACATATTTAAGCCTTTTGATATTTTCATATGCAATAAAACATTCTCCAATAAGGAAGAGGTAATCAAAGCTTTTGAAATGTTTAACACATCATGATAGCGGCTTGAATTCCATTCAAATGCATTACATTCACTTACGTGCTAATACCCTTGGGAAAGGTATGAATCCTCTTCTTCTCCCTCCTCCAGATTAAAAAAAAAACTATTATGTAAATTTTTGTAACTTTGTATAATATTTATGCATTACACCTTAATCTATATTCGGTAAAAAATTCATTGCTAATCATGCATTACCTTTTAAGTAATAAACATATTTATGTCTTTGTTGTTTCTGTTCCCTATATTATGGCCGCTACTATATATATATATATATATATATATATATATATATATATATATATATATATATATATATATTTAGCATTACAACCACAGACGTAACTTTACAATGAATAAGATTTTAAATTCATAATAAATACACACACACACAAACACTGAACACAATGTTTATTCTCATCATCTTACTGTAGAACCACATTTCTGTTACCTTAAGTATCGTCTTCCTCTGTGAGGAAATTGTCCAGCATTCATTTCCATATAGGTGGACCGATATTACATAAAGTGTTCCGCACTCTTTTCTTTGTTTCTGACAAATTGTTTCGCAAGGCTTTTATTAGCTCTTGGACTGCATATTTTGCTTATTCCAATAATACTTCGGATTTCAGTGTCATATTTCCCTTCGTCTGTTAAAGCACTTCCTGTCAATATAAATACTTTGATAAGTTATGAATTAAAATGTTCTAAGCGTAACTTAGTTGCGGCACAAGGCCGAAATTATGGGACACCCAGTGAGAATCTAACTCACTGCACAGTTTTAATTGTCCTAGCGAGACTAGCGTGTTAACCATTATACCACGTAGAGGTGCCCAAATTAAGAATGAAAATAAAATGAAGATAGAGAGAAGATCGTGTAGCTGCTTGTGTTAATGATGACGAGACAAATATTGCACTAAGTATCTAAAAATATTTTCACAACTTTTCTAACTTTTTAGTAAAAATAAGTCTAAAAACACCTGTTTTCTGTTAAACGAATTAGTGTTTTAAGTCTCGCTTGAGAGACATCTTTCAAATCAAGTTTGAAGTCTTATCATGGAGCAGACAGATTAAAAAGATAAAATTGAACAAGCAGGTGAAACAACGAGGCATATTTTTATTTCTGATTACGAAAATTCTTCAAGTTTTTTTTTTAATTAATTAAAACCAATTCACATGATTTCGGGCCAAAAAGTTTCTGATCACGTTATCAATGACAATTTAATAAATTCGATTTTCCTGGGCAAGTGTTGTATATCAGAATTTGATTTTGATATTTCAAATATACAGATTGAGATAGATAGATAGATAGATAGATAGATAGATAGATAGATAGATAGATATGAACAGACTAGGATAGATAGATAGATAGATAGATATAGATAGATAGATAGATAGATAGATAGATAGATAGATACATATGAATATACATATGAATATACTGGGTTAGGCAGTAACACAGACAGATATATAATGAACAGATTGATACACACACACACATATATATATATATATATATATATATATATATATATATATATATATATAGTTAGGTTAGTAAACACAGACAGGTATATAATGAACAGATAGATAGATAGATAGATAGATAGATAGATAGATAGATAGATAGATAGATAGATCCATTACATTCACTTACGTGCTAATACTCTTCGGAAAGGTGTGAATTCTCTTCTTCTCTCTCCAGCTATGGGTTAAATAGCAGGACAGACTGGGTTCTATAGCCTTGGGTGGTAACTGATCTAGGAGAAGGACAAATCTGAATTCAAAACCTGAGTGTGGATGGTCCTGCACGAATCCTTCACCACTATAATCGAATCTCATGTGCCGGTGTCGGGCTGTCAGTTTCCTGGAAACTGATCTGCTTGACCCTCATACGTCGCACCCGACGGGAGAATCGATAGATAGATAGATAGATAGATAGATAGATAGATAGATAGATAGATAGATATGAACTGGCTGCGATAGATAGATAGATAGATAGATAGATAGATAGATAGATAGATAGATAGATAATCTGAACAAACTGAGGCAACACAAACAGGTAGATAATGAACACATTCAGATAGATAGATAGATAGATAGATAGATAGATAGATAGATAGATAGATAGAAATAGGCAGAGAGAGGTCGACAAATAAATTGAAATATATATATATATATATATATATATATATATATATATATATATATATATATATATATATATATATATTAATTCAAAAACCAGGTAGGCAATCGTCTGGTATCTAGTGGCTGTAGTAGGAGGTTGAGTACTCTGTATACCACCAGACAAATTCAGTTTGAAATGCAATACACACTCGCACGGTGCGAAGGGTAAATCATCTGGCTAAGATCTAAAATGACTGTAAAAAATAAGAAAAGGTTCCTCCTGGAAATGTTTGCCAGTATGT